GCACTGGAGCCTGACTCGCGCTCCCTCTCTTCCTTCAGCTTCTAACCCCTCCCGCTGCCCAACACCCCCCCACCCCCGTCCTTTGACTTTTCCTAGAGAGCAATCAGCTGTTCATTTTAATTTTGTTCATTTTGTTAATTTCAGATAATTTAAAAACTGATTCAGTGGCTCAAAAAAGTTTTTACTTTTGAAATTAGTTCAGCATTCAGTCAGTGTTTCTCTTCATCTCTATATGAATCATAATTAACCCTTACACTGCTGGAAAGAAGTGAGACTCACGTGTCTTACTGCCTGATCAGGAAATCTGTGATCCACCCAGTGGGTCTAGTAAACAAACRGTGAACATGCATTAATCCAGCTGGCTTGAATGAGCCGCCTTAACTGAGCCTCAAACTTGGTGTTTGAATGACAGATTACAGCTGTTGACTAGTTGAAGGCTAGTTCAAGCTCAGCTTACAGTTGATATCCTGGATTTAGAAATCTGACTTTTGTGAAATGAGCTCCAGGTCAGAGTCGTTATTCTTGCGGGAAACCTTTTGGAAACTTCCAGATTTTTGAGACTGAGATAGAGCTTCACCTTACAGCAAGATCCTAAACGCACTACTGAGGTAACAATCCACTGATTTCAGGAAAAACTGTTCAATGTCCTAGAAAGGTCTAGTCTAGCCAGGGGTGGCCCATGTCATAGGCAGTATAGGCAAATGCTAAGGGAGCTGTCCATCTAGGGGGCTCCACAAGTGGGGGATGAAAAAAAATACAACTTTTTATCAGAGAATATTTGATCTGGTTTCTGGTTTATGACGAAAACTTGTTCTGTGGGTTTCTCACCTGAGCTCAGATAAAGCTCAGATTAAAGTCTGGTTTTCAGTGTTCTACCTTTTGAAATATTGAATTTATGTTGTTTTATTAATCACAAGAACTTAATTAAATGCTCTTCAAATGGCTGGAAAATGCACAGTAGATCTTAAGTAGATTGTTTACAAACATTTCTGTAAGAGTAAACCCCTCGAACCCCCTAGAACTGCTTCAGTCCACACCTGTTGGTTAACATGAGCAGATGTTCCTCATAATGTCAGACTGGTATTCTGTTTAAATTAGATTATATTATTAACTATTTTAATTGGAAAACCTTGTTTCTAAAGATAATAGTATCAAAGACAAAACTATTTAATTTAGTATGTGGATGTTTGTAAATTGTCAGCGAGATTTAGAAAAGTGCACAAGAGGCGCCACCTGAAATCTTGCGTATATAATGCWAAATTGGCTGGTGCTGGCCCTGAGTCCAGGGGTATCAAATCCTGAAGAGCTTTGACYTTGGACCTGCTGTGGAAGGGGGCTCCTGAAAGTATTGATACCAGGGTGTGAAATTTATGCACAAGTTGTGTTTTTTTTTTTTCTGACAACCACAGCAGTTAACTCTCTTTTTCCCATAAAGAAGTATAGAAGGGATGTTGTGAGAATACAAATGTGCACTCTCTGGTGAGTGAGGTGTTCACTACTGCTCTGTGCAGACTTACAGATTACTTTCCTTTCATATTTTGCTATTGGTACAGATTTCACTCCAAAATCTAGCTCAATTGTGGATCTGCTGGAGTTTCTTTCTGTGAAAAACTTTTCAAACACCAGCAGGTTTAATTCAGTTTGATTCCTTATGTCAGATATATTCACTATGAAGCATCAACACGTCAAGTCCTGAATTAAAAAAGAGTAAAGTATTATCCAGGAYTTAATTTGTTTCCAGAAAGAAAAGAAGACATGGTACCCAGCTGGCTCATGTCAGCAGACAGTGAATGGCTCAGTAGTTTCACTTCTTTCATCCTGGCTCCAGTCTGAGCCAGCACAACGTGAGGACGTCACAGTGCTGTAAAATACTGCCTGTCTGAGCTTTTCTGTGGGAAACAGACAGCTAATCTGCATRCTTCTGCTGCCTCTTCAACCTTCAACAGGAGATGTCAGTGTTTGTGCGTGAAACAGAGAGTTTGTCAGCATTTTAAATCAGCAGTCAAGACAAGCTTTTTGCCTCTGGATCATGTTTGTGGAGAGATAATTCTAAAATCATTGATAAGAAAGCCACAGGAGCCTGTCCAGCTGGCTGCAGTTAAAACCTCAGTCCACTGACAAACACCCCTTTTCTGTGATTTTATCAGTGAACAGCTGATTTTGCTGCCTGGTTCCATAATGTTACTGCCTCCATCAGAAACAACATGCATCAAAGTTTAACAGTGAGCTGTACGAGGCTTTTTAATGTCACAGTAAAACTGCAGCTTTGAACCATTCAGTGAATTAAAATACAGCTAATTACACCAACAAAGAATTATTATGGATAAGCATCACAACCAGATTATATTAAATACAACTGAGTAGCTTAATCTGGCTGGATGGACAAGTCTTCCCTTGTTGACATCTTTTAATTCATTTGTAAACTAGAAGCACTCGGAGAGCGCAAACCTCCGCCAAGGCCAATTTCCCCTAACCTGTAATAGTGAAGAATCCTTCGAAAAATTCCTGGATCCGCATTGAGATCCGGATCATCATCAAAATTTAATGGTGTGATCCTTTCGCCAATACCCACCTGTGGTAAAAATGTCATGAAAATCTGTCCATAGGTTTTTGAGTAATTATGTCAACAGACAGACAGACAGACAGACAGACAGACGTGACCGAAACCATAACCTCTTTGGCAGAGGTATATATATATATATATATATATATCCTCCTCCCTTGGTGGAGGTAATAAAACGTTTCTGCACTGCTATATAGTCATAAGCTAGTTGTAGCAGTTCCTGTGCCAACTCAGGCACTTTGAGTTGGAATTTCATCATATTTCTGATGAAATTCTCATGTAARGTGAAATTATCAGTGGTGTAAACGTTTGAATGAAAACTTTTGTCGTAAAAAAAAGAGTTGAGTTGCCAGGAAGACAAAGTGTGCTTTGGACATGGGTCCACTTAAACAAGTTTGTCCAAGTGAACCTAATTCTATAGCAGATTTTATCCTTTTAAAAGAGCATTTCTTAGCAGTTCATTCAAACACTTATTTTTACTTTGTGACCAGTTTAATAATTATGGCAGAAATATTAGGAAATTCCAGACATCAATACCTGAGGTTCTACTGGAAGTGTTATAGCTAATGGCAGCTACTGTAACTTGGACTTATGAGCAGCCAAATAATTTAATGTAAATAAATGCATGAAGTAAAACTGACAGCAGTATGAATGTTTATAAAATACTGCTCACATAAAGAGGGAAGACAGACTAGCCATTAGCTCATRGGTTCTTGCAAACTTAAAAACTGTGTTTCTCCAAACTGAGGCTGTTCAAACGTGATGTGCAACKTGTTCATATTTCACCCCGAACACCACTGCAAAATGCTGAAATATCCTTTGAATTCTGCTGGTTTTATATACATGTCCAAAACAACRCATCAGCCACAATGACCTGGATGTTGTGGACAGATAAATCCCATGTTGCACTGATATAGCAATGATGCACGTGTGGAAAACTTCTGGAACAGGATAAACAGGACCAAATATTTGAGACAAATAAAAGCAAAATATCAGGTCTTCATATACACTTTTCATTAACAGACTTTTTAACTGAATAATGTAGGTTTGTTCTTTCTTTTAAAGACAGCAGGTGAAATTCTTTAATTCATGAAGAAATACAAATATAGCAGTGGTGATTACTTCAGTGTACAAATAAGCTTCCTGTCTCTAAAGCTTCTTTCTCAGTACGTTATGCAACCA